GCCCGTCATGTGCTATAAACCAGAGAGTATTCGATTGCTTGGTATCAATGAGTTGAATGAATTTCATTACCAGACTACAATGACAGGCAATCATTGCCCGTCATGTGCTATAAACCAGAGAGTATTCGATTGCTTGGTATCAATGAGTTGAATGAATTTCATTACCAGCCTACAATGACAGGCAAACACTGCCCGTCATGTGCTATCAACCAGAGAGTATTTGATTGCTTGGTATCAATCAGCTGAATGAATTTCATTACCAGCCTACAATGACAGGCAAACACTGCCCGTCATGTGCTATCAACCAGAGAGTATTCGATTGCTTGGTATCAATCAGCTGAATGAATCTCATTACCAGCCTACAATGACAGGCAAACACTGCCCGTCATATGCTATAAACCAGAGAGTATTCGATTGCTTGGTATCAGTCAGCTGAATGAATCTCATTACCAGCCTACAATGACAGGCAAACACTGCCCGACATGTGCTATCAACCAGAGAGTATTCGATTGCTTGGTATCAATCAGTTGAATGAATTTCATTACCATACTACAATGACAGGCAAACACTGCCTTCCATATTCAATCACCCATTTACATTTCTATCAAATACTCTTCATTCATCTGTTTATAAAACTTCTACACGAGACCGGAAATGACGTCGATGGAATTCCCCAAACTAAATGGTTTCAGTGTTAACGATTTTGTCTTGTCGTTTAACGATCTTGCACAGAAAGACATACGAAAAGGCTTTAGCGTAAAACCTACTCATTGTGCCGTAGCACATGGGATGAAGCGCACTAGGAACACAAGTGACCAGGAAAACATACCGCCTGGTGATRAGGAAGTATTGCCAGTTCTTGTAACTCAAAGCATCRAAGTACTCCAGCAAGTGGAATACTTGGTAGGGCAAAAAACAAACAATGAAGATCGAGACGGCCACGTAAATCATGTTTAATAAATCTTGGTCTAATTGTAGTATCAGCGTGTTTTCATCCTCCATACGGGTTCGTCTGCCGCGTTTCCCCTTTCTTTTGGGTTCCCAGTTTTTACCTGTTCTGGAAGTCGAACGTGATTGGCTAAGTTTGGTACTTGAAATGGAACTTTCTGTCGTCGTGTTGGTAGATATTGAGGTCTGTAGTTCCATCGAGGGATAGGTAGCTGTGTTTGGATGGATCTGGTTGGTCATGTGACACTTAAGTTTGACCACCATCGCGCCGTAGAACACCACCATGATGAGAATAGGGATAACGAAATTCACCAGAAAACGAGCCAGCATGTACTTCTTGAAGAACGGGAAATTAAATATCGTGTCTCCGTCGAAGAGCACAACACACCATATGAACGAAGCGTCGAATGGTGACCGTACCACCTTCGAATACACGAACATAGGCGCACAAAAGCCCAAAGCAGCGATCCACAGAATTAGAAGAAGTACATTCCGTTGACTAGTGCTGTAGCGAAGACCAAAACCAACATTAAACAGAGTAAAGAAACGATAGATTGAAATAATGGCCAATGTCCACGTGATTATTAGACACGAAACCACCTGACTTGGGCTAAACACGTGACACAAGAAATCCCCGAAAGGCCACGTAAAGACTTCATCATAGACCTGGATAGCCGGAAGTGTAAGTGCACCAATCAGCTCTGCGAATGCCAGGTTGGCTACGAGGACATAGGTCAGCGGTTTTCTGGTTTCCATGGTGATAATAGACTTGATGACGACGGAGTTGCCAAGCACGGAYAATAATGTCAAGAGTCCGAAGCAAGTGTGGCGAAACCAAGTTGAGCCGAGAGGCTCTGGATACTGTTCAACAGCGGTAGTATTATTTAATGCCATGCTCGAACGCTTTTACCAAGGTTGAGTAGAAGAAACTTGGAAAAAAAAAATGAAAACAAAAAAGTTAAAAACGTGCGTTCTGCCGTACTCTGATGGGAAGAAATTCGAACTAGAATTTTTTATCATCAGTCACAAGTGAATTGAGTTTGTTTGATGTGTTGTTCTCTCCTATGCTACGAGGGTTTTCTCCGTGTTCTCTGGTTTCCTCCCTCCGTAAAAATCAACATGTGAGTTGAGCGTCGTGTGCAAAGAACATTTAATGTAGTGGTAGTGCGTGTGAGCGAAAAGTGTCCCCAATTAGTGCGAAAGCGCTAGAACGACTAGAAACTTAAATAAAAGTTATTTACTTTAGCGATTGCGTCTCTTCTCGCTTTGCATAATATACGATAAGAGCCACTAACTTACGAGGGAGCCGAACCAGAGACAAAAACGCTCTGAACTGATTCCGCAGACTTGAACTTGAACTCATGAATATTCTACACATTGTCACAGGCTGAACCCTGTGCAACAGAGACTTGGAAGCTGGAGTATTGAACGGTTTCTGTTCCACGATATCTTTCCCCCTGCCTTTACCCTGAATAGGATAAAATTATAGCGTTTCATCAATTCTATATTTTATAAGAGCAGGCTCACCGAATTAATCACATGGCTTGAACAATCATTTACGGTGAAAAAGAATTTGGACTCTTGAACTGTTTGGATACTTAACTCCCAATGTATTGGCTTCATCGATAAAATATGCCACACTGTTTATTTTTTTAGCCATCAGTTTCCATGGATACTAACCTGGTATCAGTGAAATGATTTCAACATGAAAATTCCGATCATGGTGAAAAAAWTTTTTTTTTTGCAAGCAGGGCCTTCGAAATATATTTTTGTTTTGAAARCAATTCCCTCATAACTTGGAAATCAAACTTGTTTTTCTGAAAAAGGGAAAGATAAAAATAAATTAATATTAATATACTTATTATTTTTATAAAAATGTATATTTAATATTTTACCGGGAAAGGGGGGGCTATTAAAGAAACAAGGCTCAAGATGGGGGGGAGTTACCAAAAAATTACCACAACACTATTACAATATACAGAATGCAAAACAAGTGAGGTGCCATTTCTTGTAAGGCTTGCCAAACGACTTACACTGCCCCTTATATTAATCTCTAAAGTATCTTGACTGCGTGTTGMGTACAAGCAAGAACGACAAAGTCAATAAGCGATTTGTTTAGACAAGAAAAGTAGGAGGTTATTTTTTACTTTTAATATTCATCCTAAATATTTACTTAAAACGACTCCATTCTTGGGTTATGAGATTGGAAATAAAACTCTTAAATTTTCTTTGATTACGATTCCATAGAACAAGCAATGTACAGCCATAATTAAACGTACCTTAAGGGCCCTCAAGGAATCGTACTTTAGTCCTCGCTTGTCGACCCTATCTCAGGGTTTAGACCGATGATTTATGTTGGATTAGCACAAAGRTCTTCGTGAGTTTTCACACATAAAACGTAGCGATGAAAGAGTAGATATCTTCTTGCCAACAACTAACGTTTCTTGAAACTCAATATCAACGATCACTAYTGAGACGGGTAGGGGTAGGATGGTTTTGGATTGATGATCACGTGTTGATCATGCTATAGCCGCAGAGTTCTTAGTGTCGTTACGCAACGTTTCGTGGAGGCGGGCTAATATGATGCTTGTGTGATATGAAAATATGGTTTAACAAAGTTCGCCCAATCAGCATCACAATGTGGAAGAAAGAAAAACGAAAGAAAGGAAGGAAGAAAGGAACTGACAGAAAGACAGAAAGACAGGGAGGAAGGGAGAAAGGAAGGAAGGAAGGAAGGAAGGAAGGAAGAAGTTCAAAAATCCTATCATTCAAAGCTGGCTGGCTGGGCGAAATTAAAGGTGATAAAAGCAACGAATATGTCTTTCAAGTTAAGTTAATTTCACTGAAGTCCAGCTGGTGAACGAGTCGCAAGAGATCAAACCATGTACCGTTTCTGGATAACAGTCATTTGAATTGCCTCCTGCAGCTTGAAGAATTTCACCGCTATTTTCATTGAATGGTGGATTAACTGAGGACTTTGTTTTATTACGACTGGATTGACAGCTTCGGAATCAATAAAATGGGATAAATTCCCGAGTTCGTCTCTCTAAAACTGCTTCGCCGACAGTTAAAAAACCTATAAAAWACCTATATTTCTCCTTTTCGAAAAAYTTATATTTTCACGTGTGAAAATAACATGTTATTTTCACATGTGAAAATATCGTTACTATGTGTATTTAAGCTATTGGTTWATAAATAAAAACTTTTTATARTAATAAAAAGCTTRTTAARTTGATTTTATGAATAATTATGTAATAAACAAAATATTACATGGGCGCTTGGAGATACGAAATTTATCTTCTCGTGTTGAAAATCTCTGATGTCTTTTCCGGCAACACTCGAAGATAAATTTCGTATCTCCGGGCGCCTATGTCAGCTTTTTGCCTTATTGTATTAGGACTTGGGACGCTGATCCTTAAATTTTTACATGTAATAGATTTTATCATATATAGTGTATTTGTTTATTTATATATATTATCACTTTTATATATTTGTATATCTTTATTTATTATATAGATATAGATGAAATACCAGGTTTTCTCTAGTGTCGAAAACTTGATATCTTTCACCAGTGAAAGATACCATATCTTTTACACGTGAAGATATCGCTGTTGACATAGCAACGTATTTTAATAAAGAATTTTTGAGCTTTTGTTTTATTCAAGTTTCATCGATACCTATATAATAAACAGAACATTACATGGCCGCTTGGAGATACGAATTTTATCTTCTCGTGTTCAATTTAGATATCTCCATCGTTCGCTGCGCTCACTCGTGAGATATCAATTGAACACTCGAAGATAAAATTCGTATCTCCGCGCCCATGTAATATCCTCTATGTATATTTATTTGTAAACTTAAGTTTTTCAATCTTATATTGCAAATTAAGTATTAATAAATATTATTATTATTATTATTATTATTTCATGTAACACCCTCTATTTAACTACAAATCATGCCGTCCACTATGATCTCTCTGTCTTTTTTTTTGTTTTGTTTTTTTTTTGCTGAACGGAAGGAATTTTTTTTTAACACTACAGGCTTCTTTTTTCTCCATATTCTATTCTGTTCTTGGATTCATTTTTTTTGAAAAGCCATTTTAAACAACAGGCAACGATTTAATTAAAATAGTTCAAAGCTTCATCAACTTTATTGTTTGYAAAAATCATAAAAACAAAGTACCTTTTTCTACAAAACAGAATTTATCATTACGGCTTGAATTTTTCTTAGACTCATTTCTCTTGGCCTTCCTCGTGTTTCAGCTAGGGGATTTTGTAAAAAATTTACAATTCCCGTCTAAAAAGCACTCTTAAACGTAACCGCGACTGATTTAGAGCTGAGGTAAGTATGGTAGACTGAATATCCCGAGTTTCTTAATCAATGGGCATACGCCATCTATATTAAGGTTACTGGAGACCCTCAGGGGTATGTTTCGTTTAAGACTCTCTCTTCGCATCACTTTAAATAAAACCCCATGAAACTATATATCGTTTTAAAGGTCATATAATATAGATTCAGAAAATAATATTATTTGAAAGAGAATTTTTAATTTGAAGCAATGCCGGAGCCTTAAAYACAAATCGGGCACGTTCAGTAGAGTTAATGGACATCGATTTGGCGCGTATAGCCAAAAGAATTTCACTATGTAAAAAATGTTGTGAGCGATTTTTGATATTTTGCTTCTTTAAAAAGTTATTGAATTTTAAATTTGGAACGTTGAAAAATTTCAATGCCGGTTAATGTTTCACCGCATAAAAGACGAAATACTCAAAATATCAAAAATCGTTCACACCCTTTTGTAGATTATCTTTTACTTATTCATGCATAGTGAGGTTCTTTTGGCTTTACGCGCTAACGCTATTTCCATTAATTCACCTCTACGGAACGTGCCCGATTTGTGTTTAAAGCTCGACATTGTTACAAATCACTTTGAAATAATATTATTTTCGAAATCTTTATTAAATGACCTTAAAAACGATATATAGTATTAGGGGGTTTTGTCGAACGTGTTGCGTAGAGAGAGTTTAAGACAAACATACTTCTGAAGGTCTCCAATAACCTTAAGGTGCCCGCATTCAAAGTGAATATTTTGCGAGACGCGAGTCTTCGAGTAGCCAGCGCTCAGCCGCAGACTAGTCTTCGAGCGACTAGGGAAATTTTTTATTTTTTCAAATTATTTTTATTTCTRCAAGCGGCACACATCGACAAACGAGCGTGCGCGTTATATTCACCTGTAGTTGAACATAACAGCATAAGACGTAAATTGTGACTAATAGGGAGTTTTTGATTTACGTTCACGGCAAACGTGACCACTTAAAAATTATTTTAAATAGCTTAAAAAGTACCGCAAAAAAGTCCAAGTAGTAGAAAAACAAAAGAATATTTGTCTTTAGTGAGAAGGTTTGTAAAAGGTAAAGTAAAGTACAGGAAAACGATGAAAACGTGGTCACGTTTGCCGTTTGCGGGGAGAAAAAAAGTCAATCTAAAACTCTCTAATGAGCTGCGCGCCGAATTTATTTTATTCACTTAATGTAAAAATACTAATTACATTGACAAATGTAAATAAATTGCCCCTTATGTTCATACGAGATATAGAATGTATGCGAAAAGTCGAGCAGTCTAAAGTCGTGTAAACTCGACGAAACTGAAATTTTTTTTTTTTCTGGAGTACGTATACGGAAAAATTGAATAAGAAGAAAAGAAAGGACATCCGTTTGCAATAATACAACCGTTTCCAGCCGAGAAAAGTAGTTGTTTAAACATGAATATAAATTTAAGAATAAGATAGAAGCTTTAGTTTATGCTCAGTCAGTGGCAGGAAAAATCCACAATTTTTTAAAAATAGTTTTCTCATTAGTAAAAGTATTGAAGTTTCTTCGAAGACTTAATGAATTAAAATTTCTTTTGAACATAACTTGAGCAAAAAAAAACAAAAAAAAAACATGTCTTTTGTGGTTTGTGATTTTTGTTTTTCTGGAGTACGGAATAATTGAATAAGAAGAGGAGAAAGGACATCCGTTTGCAAAAATACAACCGTTTCCAGCCGAGAACATTTTAATTTTTTTATACACTCAATATTGAAGAATCGTTGTCGTGTTCAGAAACATAGAAGCTGAGACCGAAATGACACATTTCATTTGCGCCATCCATGAAGTCGGTTTAGAATGCCAAACACGTATTAAAAACAGTGGATGATGCCACGGGTCGCCGGTCACAGCGTGAATCTAATTAACGTACTTCCCATGTGCCATTTCGGTCTCAGCTTCTATGTTCTATGTTTCTGAACCCGACAACGATTCTTCAATTGAGTATATAAGATGAATATAAATTTAAGAATAAGATAGAAGCTTTACTTTATGCTAAGTCAGTGACGGGAAAAATCCACAAACTTTTTATAATAGTTTTCTCATTAGTAAAAGTATTGA